CAGAGTCAGCAGTCCACCTCCACCTGAAGGACAAAGGACCTTCTTTTGAGGACAGTGAAGTCCAGATCCTCTCCAGAGAACATCGCTGGTTTGAGAGAGGAGTCAAGGAAGCTATTTTTGTCCAAATAGAACACCCCTCACTAAATAGGGGTGGTGGACACAACTTGTCATCCTTCTACAACTCTGTTTAGAGATCTCTGCCCAAACATTCCCACCAGGACAATAGGCATCAGTCCACAGGTGAGGGTTCAAAAACAAGTAAAGACGCTCACCGATACTGGGCTATAATGACTCAGTCGTTAGGGGACATTGTTGGCCATCAAAGGACTGAAACACCACCGATGGGGATAAATATCTCCAGCTCAACACCAGTCAGTCAGAACTGATGAAGCCTCTTGAATGAGAGGTGAAACGTCTTCGACCTAAGAACCTAGTCCAGTTGATTTTTCTAAAGTTTTTGCCAATGTACTGAGATGTGAAGCCTGTACATTAAATCCACACCCAGTAGGCCACCATTCCAAAATCCCCAGGATGTGTCCTAGCAAGACCAAAAAAGAAAATGTAGATATAAGCTTTCACCTAATCTGTTCTTACATTATTATCAGAGGTGTAGTGCTAATTAATTAAGTACTGGAGTGCACCTATGACCTCTATGAGATGTAGCCTGTTTCAAGGGCCATGCAAACACTTTTTGGGCTACATGGCAACTGTAATTGCCCACATGATCAGTTGTTAGACTGACTTTATTCTCTGGTGTGGCAGAATCACAATGTGAATAAGGAGCGCTTTGTATGTGGCTTTGTCAGAGGGTGAATGTTGTAGCTATAACTAAGGCGAAATTTCCACAGGGGACAGGTTCCACCCAAAATATGAAAAACAGACACTTGTCCCCCCACATCCCCCCAGTATTGGTCATGACCAGTCATCAAATGCCTCCTAAATCTATAAGAAAATGGATACTCTCAGCTCCAGTGCTAAACTGACTTCAAAACATACTGACTGTTCACTGAGCTCCTCCTGCGTCATATTGGTTTACATATCAACCAGCAACAGTAAACACATCAGCTGTGTATGGGACTTGCGACTAATCAGCATGTGCCAAAGTTTGGCCATGCTGTGCCCTGCTTGTGTCATACAGACCTACAGCTGATCGCTCACAGGTGAAACAGTCCATTTAAATCCCAGCAACACTTAAGTTAAAAAGATAAGGATAATCACTTTATTTGGCCAAGTATGTTACACACACAAGGAATTTGTTTCTGGTACAGAACCGAGGCAGCCAACTGTGGCGCAAGTTCACACTGATGGTTCTAACCATCGGGGGCACCTTGGGGTTCAGTGTCTTGCCGAAGGACACTTCAACATGTGGAACTGCAGGCATCGTGATTCAAACTTCCAACCCTCCAGTTGGGAGACGACTGCTCTACCCACTGAACCACAGTCGCCTCTGTGAGTCTGTTTCTGCTGCTGATTGTCACATCTGATGTTTGTCTCCATGGCCCCTTCTGGAGATTACACTCTAGTTAGTCAGTCTGGATGACCGGAATTTTGTTCTGTCACTTATCTGTTGTAAACGAAGTCTGTATTCAACACTAAACTGTCTCACTGTGAACTATCCACATCATCATATATGTGGTTGAACAAAACAAATACTCATGGGTGCCAATTGCACATTGGAGTGTGAAATGCTTGAGTCAGTGTCGTGAAACAATCACCATACCTTCAATTTTATTATCACAACTTAGAGCATTCCATTTTGCACAACATACACTTTACTGATGATTGGATCTTCAGGCGCTCACAATAATGCAATATTATGAATGTCAATGTAACTTAAGCATGTTAACCATGTTTATTATATCTTTGAGTAGAAATGTGAAACCCAGTGTAACAGATAATAATTATTTACCCGGCACTGTACCTGTATGGTGGCCTAAACAAAACATGGCTCTGCAGTGTGAATACAGTACTTCAGGCAGTCACACTGAGGTTTGTGTGTTTTTGAGAACAAAGTGCCATCTAATGGTGACACTGTGCAAATCAAGGAATAGCTCTTTAATTGGCATGTTTACTGTGGAATGTATGTATGTACTGTGTATACATAACAGTAGGGTAAACACACCATATGGCAGTGTAACATGCAAACCTGGCCTAATAATTGTTGTATTTTTGAGTTGTCAGTATTTTCCTCATCCAATTAATTGTTTGCCCATTCATGTGTACCATACATTGCATACAGGAATGTTGCCATTTTACTAAAAAGTAAACAAATATAGTTTAAAGCGGGTCAGGTGGGTTGTGTGGAGCAGTGTGGGAGGGTGCAATTTACTGACAGGGGGAGCAAAGTGTCACACTTTATTCAGCCCATATGTACTTTACATGGTGTTCCTGAGAGCCTGCATCTCCATACAAAATAATGTTATATGTGAAATTTCTATGCTAAAAACTGAACTTTTAACGCCCCAGCCAGTATTGTTGTGCTAGATGACACTGTATGAACCAGCAGCTAGTAAAGCATAGTTTTGTGAAAACATCAAAGCCTTCTTTAAAGGTTAATCAAACAGAACCAGTATCTTCATAATGTGTCCCATAGCACAGCACAGCACAGCCCAGCAATTTTTCAAATATGTTCTCCTTCAACACATTCACAAGTTTTGATAGGAAGGAGACCAGACTGGAATATATGTTCTTTTATTTTTTGTGAACTAATGGTTGTGTTCCTTGTGTTCTTGTCATGGTAATATTTGCACCAACTGTCTGTTTTAAATGTGTGTGTTCCAGACCTTTGCCTCAGTCTCTCCACGATGCAGAGTATAGAGATGGTGAACAGCACTCTGTGAGGAAGCCCATGGGTGGGTAAGGATCTGGAACACATGAAAATCATGGCCCAGAGTGTCGGCAGTCACCAGCAGCATTCCTACAATAAACATACAAACAGCCAAAAGCATTAGGGATCACTTCCACAGCTGCTTTAACATAAACTGGTTATCATTACCACAACTGTTACTGTATATGCGGTCCATTATGGTTCTTGTTTTATAATGCTATGAATTTAGAGTGCTTTGTGCGGTTTTTGCTTTCATAGTAATGTGATGATTGCTTTACTTACTATATGCTTCACTACTGTATGCTTCATTTAATATTTGTTGGTCATCTTCTATATTAAGCATATTTTCAACAATCCCCATAAAGAGACAAAAAACAACAAAGAACTGCATCTACTCACAGTTAATGTCTAGCTTACTGTTCCATAGACCACCGTTACTGTTCAAAACATGATTAAAAACACATCAGTGAAACACATAATTGCACTGGGTGACATGTTTTCTCATTACAAACCACAAAACCTTCACATTTGTTGTTTGCTCAAGGGCTCTGAATCACCATAACCTTTACATTGTCTGAAGTAAGCAAGATTCAGGTGTACATTTGCACATTCTGTGGTTATTTCTGAGAAATATCTATATGCTGTATTTTGACCAATGCTTAATTCCTCCCCTACACGCTGATTCCCTATTTTAGTTATTTTATTAGTAGTACTCCTTTGGTTTTTACACCTTTGGGCTAAGTTATTTGTTTGATATATAATATAGTTTTGACTGGGGGTCAGTGCTGGCAGTTCACTTCTGTTTGCTACTGAGCAGAATCTGGTTACTAAAAAGCAACCACCGTATTCATGATATTTTGGCTTCATTTTGGCATAGTGGAGGAAAGCGGTAACGCCATGTCCATCAGATATATGTCTTGACTCATTTAATTCAAATATGATACGAATGAAGCCAAGGAAAATATTTAATTGTACTGTATTTCAGTCAGCTCAGTGTGCAGGATGCATGATAGACAGCAGGACAGAAGTTACAGTGGGTACGGAAAGTATTCAGACCCCCTTAAAATTTTCACTTTTTGTTATATTGCAGCCATATGCTAAAATCATTTAAGTTCATTTTTTTCCTCATTAATGTACACACAGCACCCCATATTGACAGAAAAACACAGAATTTGACATTTTTGCAGATTTATTAAAAAAGAAAAACTGAAATATCACATGGTCATAAGTATTCAGACCCTTTGCTCAGTATTTAGTAGAAGCACCCTTTTGAGCTAATACAGCCATGAGTCTTTTTGGGAATGATGCAACAAGTTTTTCACACCTGCATTTGGGGATCCTCTGCCATTCCTCCTTGCAGATCCTCTCCAGTTCTGTCAGGTTGGATGGTAAACATTGGTTGACATTTTCAGGTCTCTCCAGAGATGCTCAATTGGGTTTAAGTCAGGGCTCTGGCTGGACCATTCAAGAACAGTCACGGAGTTATTGTGAAGCCGCTCCTTCGTTATTTTAGCTGTGTGCTTAGGGTCATCGTCATGTTGGAAGGTGAACCTTCGGCCCAGTCTGAGGTCCTGAGCACTCTGGAGAAGGTGTTCGTCCAGGATATCCCTGTACTTGGCCACATTCATCCTTCCCTCGATTGCAACCAGCCGTCCTGTCCCTGCAGCTGAAAAACACCCCCATAGCATGATGCTGCCACCACCATGCTTCACCGTTGGGACTGTATTGGACAGGTGATGAGCAGTGCCTGGTTTTCTCCACAAATACTGCTTAGAATTAAGGCCAAAAAGTTCTATCTTGGTCTCATCAGACCAGAGAATCTTATTTCTCACCATCTTGGAGTCCTTCAGGTGTTTTTTAGCAAACTCCATGCGGACTTTCATGTGTCTTGCACTGAGGAGAGGCTCCCGTCGGGCCACTCTGCCATAAAGCCCCGACTGGTGGAGGGCTGCAGTGATGGCTGACTTTCT